TTTTATTTTAAATATCGAAAAAGTAAATAATGATAAATGATAATGTATTATCTTTTTTATTATATTTTTTCGTTTTTGATATATCTTTGTAAGTTTATATAAGTATATATGTATTATAAGTTTTAAACTGAAATTTTCTTAATTTAAAATCTGATTGAAATTAATTCAAGAATTTGATTTTATCATTTAGTTTTGATTCTGAAGCTCAGTTTGTTCAAGAAGCCTTCTTTCCAATCCTTATTAAGAAATCATAGGTTTCGCAATATATTTTCGTTAAAGAAAAATTATTTTAAAGATATGTAGTATAAAAATCACCTAATATTTTTATTTTCATTGTGTAATTGAATTTCAATATATCATACGGGTAATGGGTGGTACGTGGGAATAATTTATAGATTTGCCTAAAGCGCAATATCCTGCAGAGCAGAATAATGCGTTATATAGTAGCGCACTGTCAATTGCTAAATGTGGCAAAGTCATGTAATGGATGCAAATCTTGCCCTCAATAACAGAGCTTAATTAATTTCAATGGTGTAATTGTCGATTGTGTAATCTCACATTATTCGAATAATTCACTTGTGTTTGCTGCAGAGAAAACTATGAATTGCGAAAAAAAACTTTTAGAACCAATTTTTTATAGAGAAACTTTTTTATTTTATTTAGCAATTTTTTAAATGGTGTTAAAATTACTTTTATATGATATTATCTTTTGGAGAACAAAGATATATTCTTGTATCCATAATTCCGTATACAGTGCTGTGTTTGTGCATATTTAGATAGCTTTTTAAATATATTTTAAACATAAAACATTTTTTTTTTTTTAAATAATGTGTACATAAACATGCATACGTCAATTTATATTTGTATTTTGCTGATATTTAGGAAATGAACTTTTCCAACTTCGTAAGAAAATTATTGCTTTTTTTGTATATGATATAATTGATACACAGGATAGATTACTAAAGGTATTACAGGCTAATATTGCTGAAACTGAATGAGATATGCAATTCTTATTTTCCAGCAACTATTTGGCACCGAAGCGGGCATCAGTTTCAGCAATATTAGTTTGTAACACCTTTAGTGATCCATCCTGTGTATATACTTATTAAATCTTCAAAATTTTTTGATAGCTATTAAATAAATAATTTTCTTTTCTTGAATGTAATTTCTTGATGAAAGTATTAGTTTTATTATTATTGAAAAATATTTTGGTCTAACAATTATTCTTGTTAACTCCAAATCTCATAGTGTAAAGTTATATAAATTATTTCAGATAAGTGTTTTTAGTAAATATGGTAGTTTGATAGTTTTACTAATTTTTATAATTTTTTAATATGAAGTAAAAGTCTTATTTTTAACTATTTATGATAATTATTAACTTTATTATTGTGATAACTATTATAATATACACTTATTGCTAGACTACAAATATTGCGATTGATTCTAAATAAATATAATTTTACTATAATAAAACTATACGAATTATTACTTTAAATGACTCTGGTTTTAGTAAGGATAATTTGGTCTATTTGACAGATATAGCACGTAATGTGCTTTAAATTCAATTGAGTTATGATTGATTTATCGAAAAAATAGAAGTGAGCGGTACTCATTTTAATTCTTTTATGCTTGGATATTTGTAACTACTTTTGTTACTGATACGAATAACGGTAGTATATCGAAGAGGTTGTTGTTTCTTCTCTTCTCTTATTATTTTAAGTTACACTATATCTGGGTTTAATTTTATTTGTAGATTAAAGCTCGTTTTATAAAAAAAGTTTAATGTATCTGTTACTATGTTTGTTCTCTGATTAATTTCTAGATGATTATACTTTTGGATGTTGCATTTAATCGCCCTTGTGGGTTGGAATATTCGATACTAATTAATTAGTCACTGTCACTTACCACTAGCGCGTTCGTCATTTACAAACCTATCTTCCCCTACCGCCCAGATTTTCACGTTTGAAATTAGTTTCATGAATTAGCAATATTTTTATTGAACGAGCAAATTAAATTTTCTCTTGTATGAATGTTTTTAAAAATAAAATTACATTTATTTTTTGAAACTCCGGGATTTGTAGGTAACTTTATTTACGCTTAAGTTACTTTACTTACGCTACATTTTGAACATTTGATATTATTACAGGACATTAAAATATGAAAACGTATCTCAACTACTGAACGCAAAGGTTTAATTAATAAGTCGATTCAAGTAAATTTGCCGATGTATCTTAATACGCGTACACAAAACGCTAATGCGTAAAGAGTGCATCAGCTACAGGTGCCTTAATGGCGTGTGAAAGCTTTCTCTACTTATATTTCTCTTTTTCTGTTCTTCTCTTTTCTTTCTCTATTCCTCCTCCCCGTCTCTGCGCTTCCTACACAGATATTAAAATCAATACGGTATGCGTTTGACTGGTACACCGTATGCACCGCCATTACCGCATACACCGGCTACGTATGTGCGATCCACCCCCTCCTACATTTGCCCCCACAATCATCCCGCACCATATACCTATTCTCTCTGTAACCCTCCTTTTCTCCACCCCTCTCTCCTTGCGGATGCACACGAGAACTGCAGCTGTAGCTGTAGCGCCTTGCAGTCGACATGGTTGAGGGGATGAGTCAAAGTGTGAACCGTTAAGAGAGAGATGAAGAGCTTGAGAAATTTGACGTTGAGTCAAGAACGGCTTTAAAATGACGAAGTGCTTGAGATAATAAATGATCTAATCGATGTACTCTTGAGTGTTTTTGTTTCGAATACTCGAGTTTTAGAGTTTTGGAATTTTTAGGATAGCTGGATTATTGGATTTTGCAATTCTTAGATATGATTTGAAAACTCTGATTTAAGATTTGAGAAATTGTATTTTGTTTCGCATAGAAAATCAGAGTTTTATATTTTTAAAAGATTAAATTTTTTAAATCTTATATATATATATATTCTTGAAGATAGTTAAATTTTAAAATACATTCTTAAATTATCACTTTTATTTTTTTAAATTATTACAATTATAAATCATTGTATTTTTAATCTCGAAACTTTTAAACGTTTAATTCTTGGATTATTGTACTTTTATATATTGCATAAGTATAGGTGTGAAGTATTAAGGGAGAGTGTAAAGATGAGACATAATTTCATACCAAGTTAATCAGACGTTTACCGAGTCTCCGGGGAGACACGCAATGTCAAGAAGGGCTGACGAGGAGAGAGGGACGAGATCGTAACCCGCGACATCAAATACTGGCCAAGACATGCCGATGTCATGTAGCAGCTGCTACTAATCGCCTGTTTAACTAAGCTAATTAGCAGATTAATTAGTTTCATCGTAACGTTGACAATTATATTTCGATAATTTCGATAAGCATATGTTTTATATTTTACACATAGTATGTTTGAAGAGAAAAAATTGAAAAGTACGGCAGTATATGCGGAGAGTTTTAATTAATTACGTTCTATAAATAGTTTTTAAGAACAAACAAACTCTTTCTCGTTTACTCCGCCATAGATTGATTAGATTTTGAGCAACTTGATTAATTATAATTTTTTCCCGTAAGATCAGATAAAGCTTATTAAAGAGTAAAAAACTTCATTTTTATACTGTAATTAATTATAGTTAAGAAATTAATAAGACTCTCAAGTGAAATCACAACTTAAAAATTTGTGAGCGAATAAGAACTGGATGCGGGCGGTAGTGCGTCAGATTCGTAGAAAATTCTTGACCCCGACTTTGCCTTGATATTTTTTTCACTTTCGTTTTTCCAGGGGGGGTAAAGAAGGAATATTACAAATCTCGAACTGAGGTTTATTAATACTCTTGTATTATTTCTTGATTTATATATATTAGTACAAGACCAAGAAAATTTCATGCCCTGTGCACAGTATAATCAGTTTCATAGAAAAAATTTATTTTCTATGAATCGCACTACCATCCGCGTCCGTCTCTTATTCGCCCGCGAATTTTTAAGTTATAATTAATTATATGAATTCTATTTAATGTGTATTTTTAAATATATTTATGTACTTATGGCATTTTATTATCATATATAAATTATTTTTATATATAACACAATTATAATTTATAATATAAATTGTTATAAAAAAATGCAACTAACATTAATTACAAAGCAAAATCTAGATTATAAAATGTGATGTTATATGAAGGATGTAATTCTCGTTATATGTACTATATGTACATGTATATATATATATGTGTGTGTGTGCCAGTTATAATTATTATAGATTACATATACAATTATAGAGAAGAAAACGATTATGAAAAATATATTTAGTATATTTGAAATTTTAAACTAGTTTACCCGAAAATTTTAAATGACTTCAAAATTGTGCGAGTTCTTTTTAAAATGTTTGTTGGACAACAAAGCGGGATTAAGAATGTCATATAAGTTCATGATGTCGCGTGAATATAGTTCTCGCTTTCGTTGCGCATTTTGCTGACATCTCGTAAAACTGTAAACACGTTACCAGTAGGTATTGGTTTTATCGCGCATTCGGACAGGATTCACGAGCCGTCATTTAGTCGGAATATTATTTCGTCAGGCCGTTTCCCGGGGCGAGCGGGCGCGTTGAAATTACTCGCGCGAACGTACGGCGCAATTAACAGAGAGGATTTATGTCGAAGCGAGTACTTCGAGGCGATATGTTTTACAGTTGTTAACGTAAAGAATTTGGCAGAGATTAAATGACGTAATAATAAATTGGAAGGTAACTTTTACGGGCACATATTGCTCCGTATTTTAATCCCATACGATCTGAAAACGATAGAACACGAAGAATTGCGTCGTAATTGTTTAATAGCACAAAAAGAAATAAATTAATATCGTTACAATACAATACAATATAGTAAATATCAAAATATTTTGCATCTGACAAGTAGACAGATATAAGAATTACAATACTTTTGCGTTAATTTTTTTAATCATTTCATTAACGAAAATATAGTCATGTATTTAATTAAACGTCTCTATTGATTTGTTTGCAGAATCGAGATTTACGGCTATAAGGATCGATCTCGGAACGGAGTGCGTGGATCGTGCATGTCCGAAGTCGGCGATTCGCAGGTATATAAGTGGATTTATCGCTATATGTATATATACAAACATATATATATATATATATAAATACAAGAGAGATTGCAACACAATTATAAAATTACTCAGCAATTTATTAAATGTAAATTTGCTTAATCATCATATTGAGTTTTCAGAATTTGTTTATCATGAAATTATTGAAGTTTCAAATATATATGCATGCGTGACGATACCAATAGATATTAAAAGAATGCTTGAACGTGAATAACAATACATATAGAATATTTGAATTATGTATGACAAAAAGTCGATATACATCATATCCTTTTAAAATTTAATGTTAATTTTTGTTACAAAAATATCGATAGACATTAATATAATTTTTCGGTTATATAAGACTCATTGAATAAATTCTTTTTTTGCAATTTAACATAAGCTTTAGACGCTAAAATAAATAACGGAACATTATTCTTCTCTCTCTCTCTCTCTCTCTCTCTCTCTCTCTTTCTCTCTCTTGTTATCCTATTTGAGGCAAAATTTATTTTACTTTGGAATTTTTATTTGAAGCTTAGCTGCTAAGATATTAAATGTTAGAAGTTTAAAAAATTGAAAAAAATGGTTTTAACTGGTCTTTCTGTGAAAAAGTTAATTTCAAACTTTGCAAAAACAGCGCTATATATATAAATATATATTACTCATATATATGATATATTACTAGTTTACTTTTGATCAAAATTTTGGAACATTCTGTATGAACTATTTTCGGCTTTTTGTCAACATTTCAACGCTTGTCAATCTCTTGGTGAATAAACGATTTCGGCACGATCATTCTGGATTACCATACGTTGGACTTGATATTGCGCTTCCGAGTTTGTTTCCCCTTTTCTCATCTTTCTCTGTCTATCTATGTATCGCGATTTGTCGCAGCCAAATGCAATTGTCTCCCAATTTCTTCGATAATTGCGAAATCGGTCGAAGTTCCCTAAATTGGAATAATGAAGGGTTCATGAAAAAAAAAAAAAAAAAAAAAATTATCGCCAATTTCGGAGTAATTTCGCGAAATTAAAATTTTAAAAACGAATAGATTTTTTTTTAAAGAAATGCAGGCAACATCTCTAGATTATACGAGGTTTTTGAATACCACATATTTAAAGCTTTATATTGCTTTTCACATCGCGTACATCACTACTTAATTATATTTTAGTAAAAGATAAAAGCTTATTTTATATTTTGTTTTCCTTTATTGTTTATCTCGTCGATTATTTTTTATTCATGTTATATACTATATTGAGCGAGAGCAAATATTTTGCAGTCAAAAATCCTAATGGTGAGTCTCAAATTACATGACTACGTTTAATGTACGTAATAAAAATATGTTGTATAAATTCGCGGGGTGCCATATCTAATTTGACGGCGGCGTGAAAAGAAGTTTACTCGCTAATGCACTCGTTAACACTCGCGTAATTTATTAGGAGCAAATGATCGATCGATCGTAAGCGTGGCGACCGCTCTCCGACGAGCAACGAGCGGCATTTTATCGATCGGCAAGACCGGGAGATTTACGCGTACATGCCAGCCGTGCCTCCAACGAACATATGTCATGTTATTTACGAGCCGGGCATTACTCTCTGCCCGATTTACTATATTTTATGTTACGTGGATGGACTTGCGATTCTTTCGGAGCGGATCGGACGCCGGTCACGTCGCCGAAGTGCGTGCTTACGCTGCGGCGATCATCGTTGGCCGATAGTTGGTCGACTTAGTTTAATTGCGACAAGCCTTTGGCGAGTTATTACTCACCGATTCAAACAGTTTGTAATTCGGAAAACAGTTCGAGAGTACGAATATTCTGTTTGTAATGTTATATATCGTATTATAAGCACAATTATGAATAAGACAATCATCTATTAATAATCATACCTTTCGCTCAAGTGAAGTTTTTCTCGACGTAACACGAAATATATGTATATAAAATATCTATATATAAAATTATATATAGATCGTGTTCCGCGATCTCTACAAGAGATTATATATTATCTTAATTGGATTTAATATTCATATTTTCAAGTCTCGAATTTAGACGTTCTGTGAAATCGGCGAGTTCACAAATCTATTTATTATTCACGAAACATTAAACGAAAAATCATGCAACTATCTAAATATTAAAAGTGACATAAATTCTTTAGAGAGAGATTTTTAATCTAGAAATCTGCAAATCTGGAATTTATTGATACGTTTATGTGATTTCTTATGTTCCGAAAACGAATAAAAATCAGAAATCATTAATTTGTGTTTCCAAACTTCTAAATTCTTAATCTATTGGTTCTTTAAGTTTTATAATTTCTCATTTTTTTAATATTCTATTATTTTTTAGTTCTCAATTTTGAAATATGTTTCTCTTCTCGTTTTAAAATATTGTTAAAAGATTGTTTATAAAGATTATCGAGTACCCGTTGAAGTGTTCGAATCATCGATCGTGACATCTCTTTTGTATGAGAAACATTAAGGATCATTTGATCATGATCTCGATACTTTAAAGTTGAAATGGGAATCTCGAGGTGCTTAATGGTAGCCATTTGAGGTCAGCGTAGCAGGAATTTATGTCCTCATATTTCGGCGAAGGTATCACGTGGCGCGGCGCCTTTCGGTAACGTCACCGGGTGCTTTTCAATCAGCTGACGCGCAATTCGGACGCTTGATCCCCCGCATTTTTACCCGTTTCGAGAGGTATAATGCATCGTTCGATTTCCACTGTGGGAAATGGCGTCTCGAAGGATTTGGGAGACCGCCCGTTTTTTCGAAACTCCACCGTAATGCTTTTCTTATTTTCTTTGAAAGTCTCTTAAGCACTTACTTATTGTTAGATATTTACATTAGATTATAGTCATTCTCTTTCTCTCACTTTTATGTTGTATATATTTAAATTATATTGTATATGTTTAAATCCACGGGTTTTTTTTTATTATAATCAAAGATCTTTTATTATAATCTTCTTTATTTTGGAACAAAATTCTTCCGCAATATTTTATTTTAGGAATTGTTTATATTTTAATGTTTATATTAATTTATGCTATTTTTTAATAATGTACAATGAGTTCTAAAGTTTCAAGTTTCCTAAAATTTCAATAACTTTTTTATGCAGGATATAAGTGTTAAATAATTTTTTAGTAATATCTTTTTTTTTAATGATAATACAGAAGGATTTATATAATTGTTATCTCTTCTTATTTGATGTCAAATAAATTTCATGAAGGTTTATAAATCTCTAAAACTACGAGTTCTTTGGTATTTTAGTCGGATGCATTTTCACAGAGTATAAAGTACTCAACAACTTTTCCTAAACAACAGTTCTCCTTGTCCGCGACAAGAACGGATATACAGCCGTTTGAAGTCGCGTTACAGTAAATAACGCTCGGATTGCAAACTAAATAAAAGTATTTTTTGAAGTGGCGGATAAATCGAACGGCTCTACTACTTAAAAGCGCGCAAAAGTTTGGCGCTTTGCGAGAACACGATTAAAAAGCGATTTCCAATGAAAGGCGAATTGGGGGTGGCGGACAAGAGGTAGGTGAACGACACTATGCGGCGGTGTTTTTATTTCACGGGAAATTTAACTTTAGGACTGGCGAGTCAGGGAGAAATTGCGATGGACAGGGCGAGTTCGGTATTGGATTACGACGGAATGATTGCGCTCTTAATTAAAATGGGTGGGGACAAAAGGGGAGGGGGCACGACCCTATTCGTGTTTCCGCTAAAGGGATTAACTTACTAAATCAGAGTTATGGCCTCATTGTCAGTCGCGATCATAAAGTCGATAGATGTTAACAGAAGTTTCTTCGCGTTTGCCTTCGACCTAACTTCCTCGGAATTGATTGATAATCTCGTCAGTTTCCGGTAGTTTATTACTGCTACTTTTAATGATTGTCTGCGCGCGGATATTTAATGTGTCAGCATTTTATAATGTCTTTTGTATTCTCTCTGTCTCTCTCTTTCTCTCTCTCTCTCTCTCTCTCTCTTTCTTACTACTTTACTTATTATTTTCTTACTACTTTATTTACTACTGCATTCGGTAGTTTAAAAATCCAATTTTAAATATGTGTAAATTTGTGGAAAAAAATTCATGATTTAAATATTTTATTATTATTTATATTTTCCTTGCATTTAATTATACATATATTTTTGTTACGTACGGTTTTTTTAAATATATTCAATTTGCATAGATAATTGTGTAGATTTTAATATGTGATTTTATTAGTAGAAATTTTAACGGTTTTATATTTTAAGCATTTAGCTACTGTAGCTGATATTGCTGGCGGATTATGGTTTTATTAATGTTCGTATTTATATTCATCCCCCGCGAGACGCAGCTCATATAACGTGCAATGATGGAACGCGCCGCCCTTCTTCATCTTCGTTTTAATGAAAAGCGTATGAGTCGCGCCCTACAACTTTCAACGTCGCGTCATGACTCATCCCCTTCAGAAACGATTTGCTAATCTCATAAGTACTTCACGTAACGAAGAATTGAATATGCGGTAATTAATTCTGGTGCTGCCAACGGCCGTAATGGTGCATACAGTTCTTCATTTATGTATCATATATGACACACACACACACACACACATACACATACACACACGTAATGTATCCTTTTTTGTTAAAATATATATCCCCCGTTTTCGCGTAGACTAAAACGAGAACTTTTTAATTTGCAACTTTATACCTTAGCAATTATCTTCCAAATAAAAATTCTATTAAAGTAAAATTCTCTCTTAAAAGTAGGTGAAAAATATGATTTCTCTTTATCTATTTATACTCTTAATGCTCTTTATTCGCTGAGACTATAGATTTATAATTTGAAAACTTTTAATGCCATGACATTGAAACAATTAATATTTTGTTTTTAGATTTTTTTTTTGAGTATATAATTGAGAGAATACGAGTAATATGAATATTTTATATGATACAAATTATAAGATCTTTATTCTATTTTATATATTTGCCGCGCATTTCTTATTAAATTAAAAGTT